TGGCAACATTCGCCGATGACACAGCAATAATGTCATCAGACCAAGATCCAAATACAGCCTCCCAAAAACTGCAGCAACATCTCAACTCACTCCAAAACCGGATGGAACAAAGGAAAATCAAAGTAAATCCTGCAAAATCCTCCCAAATAACATTTACAACAAGAAGAGCTGTCTGCCCGCAAGTTAGTATCAACAGCACCCTCATACCCATCAAGCAAGAAGCTAAGTATTTAGGACTCCACCTTGACGAGAAACTAACGTGGAGAACGCATATAAAAGCTAAGAGAAGACAACTAGAGCTCAAAGCCAGAAATGTGAATTGGCTAATCGACAAAAAATCACAGCTATCTCTTGAAAACAAAATAATCTTATACAAGACGATAATAAAACCAGTCTGGACCTACGGGATAGAGTTATGGGGATGCAGCAAACCTTTCAACACAACAATTCTCCAAACGTTCCAATCCAAAACGCCAAGAAAACTAGTTAATGCTCCCTGGTACGTATCAAACGCTACCTTACACAATGATCTAAGCATACCATATGTAACAGAAGTCATCAGAGCATACGCGGAAAACACAAAAACCGGACCACTCAAAACAACAACCAACTAATAAGAAACGTCTTCAACCAACCAGCAATAGAAAGAAGACTAAACAGAATGCGGCCAGAGGTTCTCATTAGATAAGCACCAGAGAATCATCNCCAACCAACCAGCAATAGAAAGAAGACTACATAGAATGTGGCCAGAGGATCTCATCAGATAAGCACCAGAGAATCATCGGAGGATGATACCTGGTTCAATATTACATACACCCATCCCTTTTACTAATTACTCTATTTATGTATATTGAGTAGATTGTAATATTATTTTAAAATAAAAGAAAAATTGAAAATTTTCAGAAGTACTTATCTAGAAACGATGTTCGAAATTTTCACTTACTGCTACTCAAAATGGCGACTGTAATTTTAAAACGTGTGGTAAATATGAGATCAACGTTAAAGTACCTAAAAAAATGATAGTACAAAAATAACGAGATAAACTGAACTTCGAAGCACAAAGTACTTTATAACATAATACAACCTGTATTAAATGGAAATTTTCCACTCTGGAAAAAACAGATTTGGTCTCAAGATTAAAAAGTAAAAACCAGTGCAGAATTAAAGATTTCTGTCTTGTGGGATTTAATGCCTGCAGTCTAGCAAAAGTCAATCGATGTTTCAGAGCAACAGATTGCTTCCATATTCAGGGTTGAGGAGTAAGCTAAGCAGGAAATCAATATGAAGCAGTCAGCAAGCTATGCTCTGCTTTCATACTAACAGCAGTCAGCAGAGTAACATTTTTCAGTCCCGAGTTTATGCGAAGTCACTGCATATTTGTTCTTCTTCGCAGATATCTAAATTCTTTGCAGCTCGTTGAACCGAAATTCAAATGATGAAAGTGTGTTGGCAGCTACTCTCCATATGCGCAACGTCTTATACTTAGCAGCTTTATCGGAACTGCGTCTCCTTAGCTGCAGGCTGCATAGCTTTGTACTAGAGTAACACAGGTCTGATGATGATGATATTTACTTGCTTGCTAACTCAGCAACCCAAAGACCAATTACAGAGTGAACACGAGTGAGAGAAAGAAACACACACACACAGAGTACAAAGCAAGGCAATTTTTAACCCCTCAGTAATGAAGATAATAATAAAGTAATAATAATAACAAAATTAAAGTTATAATTTAGTAGGTGATGATAGGAGTAATAATAATAATAATATCAGATCATTATTTAGAGGCGAGAAAGCAAAAATATAGGCTATGCAGTTGCAAGGATGCAATATACGTTAATTATAACGTGTAATGTAAAAATAAAGGTAAAGTTGTCCCTGCGCTTAACTAATTAAGCACTACGCCATGAAGGCTTATGAGGGAGTGGATGTATAGATCCACATTTTCTTGACCTCGGTACTAGCTCCCCGGCCGTTTTATCCCCGGGGAAATACTCCCCGGTACCCATCGGATAAACCTTACCGCCATCTTTGAGCCGATTGTCTAGATAATGTGGGAGCCTCGACGTCTCACAACCCTATGGGCCTTCATGACCTGTTTCAGGGATAGCTTTACTTTTACTTTTACCAATTGGATAGGAGATTGGGTGAACCTCAGAGCCGGTCAGGACGACGTGGAGAAGAGAAAATTCTTGACCCTACCGGAACTCGAACTCCGACCCTTTGGCCGTCCGACCCGTAGCCAGTTGCTATACGGACTACGCTATGAAAATAATTAAGTTGATCCAGTGAAGTGCTGGACAGCAGCTGAGAGAGAAATTAGAGGCAAGCACTGGAGAAAGAAAACACATTAATATAGAGGAAGTGAAAAACAAAACCAGAGATGAAGAGAAATACACAAAGAACATAGTAACTAGGAACTATAGAATGTAGAGCCTTAAATATTGTTAAAAGTTTTAGGTAGAATATTAAAAATATCATTAACAGCAACCGCTTCGAATGCAAATATGTCGAAATCTTTACCCACCACCCTGGTAGCATAGTCGCATCGAGCAGAAAGACAGTGATTATTAAAGGGACAAACACCGAACTTTCAGAAGTCCCTGACATTGCGAGTAGAAACATGAAAACTAATATTTTCCAAAAGGGAAATGTGGGATTTAAGGCCACGACAAACCCGAAATAAAGAGGTACATCAAGGTAATGCCTCCGTTTACGTAAATGACGGCGTGAATTTATTTGTAGCGTGACACACAAAACACGCTACAGTAATAATAATTCAATTCAAATAATAATAATAATTTACGTATAGTTCGTGACTGCGAGTGTGCTATAATTAAGTACAGTTCTACAAATAGAATTATCTGATAAATTATTTTGTTATTTAACAATGCTGTAATAAATGTAGATCAAATATGAGTAAGTAAGGATTTAAAAAAAGCGATCGTGACTTGTTTGGAGTAACTGACAAAAAACCATGGAAGATCTCAGTGGTGGTGCAGCAGCTAACCCGATCGAGTTCCGAACAGAGTCCTTCCATATCGTTTCCACGTCACAAACCTGCTAGGAATCCAGAAATAATTGGGAGAGTTTCCCCCAGTAGTAAAGGTGACTAAAGTTTTAAGACGAAAAAATGTTTTTTATTGATGATTTCTGGGTACACATGGAACCATATATAACTTGAAGGCGAGTTCCTTGGGCATAATTCCAGAATACACTACCCGCATGTTGTAAATTTATAGGCTCGTTAAAATTCGCAAGATCCCGAAGTTCACTAAGAGACTGGTAGATTGTCGTTGTTACTGTGGTGAGAGGGCAGAGAGACACCCGATGTGACCCCATCAAGAGGCTCGGTGTTGAGAACACTACTCGATCAAGACATCGCCGCTGAAACTGAGTTACGTGAGTCTTTTGTACCCCCTTACTTCGGAATCACATATGAAACAATAGTTGGGCGCATGGATAAGCCTGAAAGTTATGTACCGCTGTTTCACCACCCCCCACCTGACTCACTGTTCGGGCTACTCCTCCCCTCACCACCTGCCGCAATGCCCCTCACGTGTCTATAAAAGGATGGGCCATCCTGAAACCTCTCCTTCTGGATCCCCCCACCCCCGAGTAACTTGAGATAAACACCGTCAGGAAGAATTCCAACAAACTCTCCCCTCTTGTCTTGACGAGAATAACCCAATTACAAACCCATGTGCTGCTACTAACCATTTCATTCAACGTAGACCGCCTGTTCCGGCCCCAATCATGATCAACTTTGACTGAACATATTGTACAGGTTCTGCGCTTGCCCGGTATTGTCTCGACGCAGGGCGCAGGCGTCATCTGCAGGAAGACCGCCTTCCCACGTCCGTCGTTTTTCCCAATATTCCCTCGGTCTACGCGTGGACGTCGGTGTTATCACACGAACGACGAAACGTGCTGAGGGTGCAGGTTGGCCGGCCAACAAGTTCGTCAGTGAGCGGTACTAGGATTAACTGCACAGTTGAAAACCAGCAGCATGTCATCCGCGTTGCAGAAGACCACCAAATCGTACACGTACCGCTCCTCAGGGGGCGCTAACGCTGATGTCAGCATCGAATACACCGCCGATCTGAGCGCCCTCTCCCGACTGGAGGTAGGTCACTAACACGTGTGCATTCCAAGTAACTGACAGCCAATGGATGAGGCTTGCAGAGAATACAAATAACCAGTGCGGATTATATGATCTACATAAACTAACCAATATTTCATGGAAAATGTCCATTACAAATGTCATTACTGGTCATATAACGTCCGTAACAAACTGTCACATGTCTTAAATAGCACGAAAAAGTCAAGGCATTGAATTTATGCCTCCAAAGCTGCAATTGTAGACCAATGTCTTGCAGACATTACACTTATTCAAACCAAGTAAATCCCATCCAGAATGATAAGTTTCCCAATGTTCAGATTGTGAAAATCTATAGGCCAAGTGCAGAAATATTATACGAAAAGAGCTTTTGTGTTGAATAGGAAGATAACCACAACGGGATTCTTCAAAGAACTAAGGATTTATCACATACACAATATGAAGAATATACCGCTAATCCTGAATATTACAATGACGTTATTTCAAATCACGTACTGTAAATATTAGAACTGCTTTCTTTTAACATATTTTTATAAAATAAATTACTAGTTTTGACAACGAAAGTGATATGTTAAAGCATACAAGATTATTACATATATCCCAGTGGTAAATAATATTTGTTGGTTGAGGGAAGATTACCCTGAAGGCATCTTCCGTTTCAGGAAACAAGATGGTAAATTTGTTCCAGTTCTGACTAATTCATCGCCAACAATTATGACATGGAGCGATAATTGTGTCTTAATCGAAGAAGTCTAGCACTACTTTGGTGTACAGCAATCTCCCGCCAGTCGCCGATTTCAAATATCGGCAGTTTTCCATTAATTTACATCCTGAGATATTTGGTTTTAAGTGTCCGCTGTTTTTAATTTGTGCTCACACGAAAAGCAATCAGTAATTTTAGCACCAATTCATCTACATCTGCTGGGGACAGGACTATGTGGATCCAAAACCAGTTCGCTAGTGCCCATATCACTGTTAAAGTGTTTCGTCTCGTAATGCTTCTTACGGTCGTATGTCCTTGCATGTGGCAATGAATTGCTGTACTTTTCTTGGAAGTATAATTACGTTATTCTAGCTGGTACAATTGCAGTTAATGTTTCTCTAAGGCCTATTATTATTGACTTTTCTTTGTTGAATGTCTGACTGTCAACTAAAAATTGTCCTTCCTCTAGATGCGCTTCAGCTGCTAATATTGCTCATGTGAACGAAGTCTTTGGTACCAAAACTCTTTCTCTTAATCATGTTTTAATGAGAACTTTTTAATTTTTAAAATATTAATTTACTCAACATGAGTGTATGAATCGGTCATGGCGTCCGCACGGTTTTTGCCCATTCAAATATTGGGATCGTGGGTTCGAATCCCACTTGAGGCATGGATGTCAATGTCTATTTATTCAGAGTTTGTGCTGTCCTGTGTGAGCAGGTAGAGGCCTTGCGACGGACTGATCCCCCGCTCAAGGAGTCCTACCGACCGTGTAAAAGATCAAGAAACTGAAAAACGGTCAAAGTTTCACCAAGGACTGTAGAGCCATAGATAGAGAGATAGATAGATAGATAGATATATGGAAGTGTATTTTTCATAACCGCTTCTCGTGGTTGCACGTACTCAATTTTGATTACTTTCTGCTTGGCACGAGTTGCCTGCTTTGCCTTTCGTTTGCGTTTCTTTTGGTTCCTCGTGCTTAATTTCTAAATGGTATCTGGGCCTCTCTTTCTTTCCTTTTTCCATTTTTTCGTCGTTCCTTTTCTTCCCGTTTTCCTTTCTTTCTACTTTCATTTCTTTAAATGCATGTCGAATTCTGCCTCCGGAAATGCCCTTCCATCTGTTAACAATCAGACTCACTTACTCTGTTAGCACAAGTTTCATAGAAGTACTCCTTTGTTTCTAGGACAAGATCCGCCTCCTGCAGGAAGATCTGGAGTCGGAGAGGGAATTGCGCCAGAGGGTAAGTGCTGAAGAACAATGTACAGCGCCACTGTGAACGACAGATTCATTTTAAAGTTTTCGCAATTATTCTAATGAATATTTATGGATAGTCACTGAATCCACCCCACCGCATCCCACGAAGCTGATAGTCGCTCTAGTAGCCAAGAAATTCTCCGCCATTTATGGAAACCGATGATTCATTACCTCGTCTCTCTCACCATGTCACACGCCCCACCAATTTCATTTTTCTCAATGATATAGCCTTAATAATATCTGCAGAAGAGTAGCAAAGTTCCTCATCTTGCCTATCCTAGGCACCCGATACGTGCATCCTTCGGAGTGTGAAACCACTTTCCAGACCCATGAAAACACCTGCTAAAATTATAGCTTTGTACACATGGATCCCCAGGCTTTTAGACAGGAGACGGGAAGTAAAGAGATTTTCAGTTGAGTGGTAACAAACATTCTCGAATTCAATGTGCTCTTAACTCTGCAATTCTGATTCTTTACTGCCGTTTTAAATCGTTTAAAATTTCCCTATTTTTGAAGAACTTGTTAGCTTCGGTTACATTAAAATCTTCTTCTGTATTCTAATGACAAGATATGAATTTGCAATTACATAATGATAACTTATTAATTAATATGACGTCACTTAAGGTCACTGGGTGAATATCTGCGATTCACGATGGGTAACGCTCTTCAAATTCATGCTGCGCTAATTGCAGAACGCGTTGCTATTTTCACGAAATATATAATTGTTCATACTATACGCGTACACACACAGGTGTATGGTCTATATCTATTGTAATTGTAATGTGGTCACATGTGGATACAAGAACACAACAAACAGTGCTCTTAACTATAACGGCTTTTCATGAAGGCATGTAACCGTAACTGGGATTATTATTTTGAACATTGTCCAAGTCATTAGTTTTTTTATTTTTAACCAGAACATTTCGTAAACTGAGACTACCTCCCTCTCACCGGCTCCACGGAGTAGAAACCTTTCGCCCCTCAGATGTGATGACGGAAACAGAACCAGTTTCCGAAAGATTTGAGGTTTTCACGGNCACTATACGCGTACACACTCAGTTCTATGCTCTATATCTATTGTAATTGTAATGTGGTCACATGTGGATACAAGAACACAACAAACAGTGCTCTTAACTATAACGGCTTTTCATGAAGGCATGTAACCGTAACTGGGATTATTATTTTGAACATTGTCCAAGTCATTAGTTTTTTTATTTTTAACCAGAACATTTCGTAAACTGAGACTACCTCCCTCTCACCGGCTCCACGGAGTAGAAACCTTTCGCCCCTCAGATGTGATGACGGAAACAGAACCAGTTTCCGAAAGATTTGAGGTTTTCACGACGGTGTATATCAGTAATTTGGTCTCCTTGAATGTGGACGCCGTGTAGATATTGTATAAACCGACGTTTCGGAGGAACGTATCGCCTCCATTTTCAGGGTAGAAGAAAAATCCTCGAGCGAGGAACCAGCGTGAGCAGGTGGAGGCGATAAGTTCCTTCGAAACGTCGGTTTACACAATATATACACGGCGCCACATCCCAGAAAACGGCATTCTTCAGTTTCCGAAACTTTACAACTTGAAGAACACTCAATAGATGGACAATGATACTAGACAGACAGTATTCTGCTTGAGTTCGGTTAAACATATTAGAGTTCCACTGTTGGAACGTGATTCGTCAGTGTCTTCTAAAGACATTGACGCACTGTGGGTATGTCATGGTCCTTGGTTATCTGCTAAATATAGGTCATTATTACACAAGTAGTTAAACAAGAAAAATAGAACTCCATGCCAAATTTACATTTACCTACTCAGTTACTAGTATCAATACATGTTCCAACAACAGCACTCTCGAACCCGTCATCGATTGCTTTACAAGTTTCAGGAATATTTCTCGATGAGTAACAATATAATATCTGAAAGTACTGAAAAATGGAACTTCTTTAATCCTAAAGTCCTATAAGCACAAAAATATACTTCTTTATTTAGAATCTTCTTGGAGATGGACTTTTTCTGATACACATATAAGAGTCTCCTAATCAAAGGCTAGATCCCAAAAATATAGATGAAATCCACTAGCAGCTTCATACAGAAATCCACTTAGGTAAATATTACGCTAGAAAGCGATCTCCGCTGTTTGTCGAGTCCATTTCTGGAGCCCTGGAACCTGCTTTTGAAAACTAAGCATTGAAGTTGGCAACAGTCCACTATCCGGTATCAAATGAGATTCAACTTGAAATAGAAGCGCGAGTTGATTATATTCTAGAATCCGGGAAAGAGTAAGCGCGCGTGTGTAGGAAACAACTTACAAACAAATTTTCAGCGATAACCTGGAAATGTGTATGAAAAAAATACAATTCAAGAAGCTGATGCTTGTAAAGGCGACAGATTTTACGGAACTCCGGAAAAATATGATTGAAACCGTTTGAGTATACTTAATGACAATCTATAGATTGTACCGACTACTCAACATGTGGCAATTTCAGAATCTGAATTCGGAATGAGTTAGAAGAAAGCAGCCAAATTCAACCTTCAGATTTATGTGGAGTGACTGAGGACAAACTCTGTGACGGTGCAGGCTTCTCAGAAACAGAATAAAAAGAACTGAGGTGGGCAACATTGCCAGAAATGAGGTTGCTAGCAATGAACACGTTTGCACGGAACCCGGCTTAATATTACTCACATGATATTAATTTACGTAACGCCGTCCAACTGGGCCGCTGCTTTGGCAGGCATCCACGCGGTACCCAGAACGAGACACGTTTATGTTCACGATGAAACAGTGAATATGAGCACATTAAATGTACAAAACCATCGATTATATACGGATTGGGGTACGCGGTAGCGTAGTGGTTAAGGTACTATCCTACAAGCCGGAAGGTCGCAGGTTCAAGTCCCGATGAGGTCATTGGATATTTTTCAATTGACCTAATACTTCCAGCCGCACTAGGACCTGGGGTTTACTCAGCCTCTGACAGAAATTAGTACCAAGAATTAATCAAATAATCTTCCTGAGGAGTGAAGCGCGGCCGGCGCGTAAGGCTGACAACCTTACCGCCATCTTTGAATCCATTGTCTAGATAGTGTGGGACCCTTAACGTCTCACAACCCTATGGGCCTTCACGGCCTGGTACAGGGATAGCTTTACATTTTTATATACAGATTTTGTTTGTTATACTTTGATTTAAGTATAAGTAAGATCTAGCTTTGTTATCAGAAAGGAATTATTTCGTCTGCTTGTTTCCCAAGAGAAAATCATCCAATAAAAATGTAAAGCTATCCCTGTAACAGGCCATGGAGGCCTATAGGGTTGTGAGACGTTGAGGGTCCCACTTTATCTAGACAATCGGCTCAAAGATGGCCTCTACCTGTACACAAACACAGAAAAGCGCGCACACACACACAAATTAGAAATCGTGGGATTCGAACCCACGATCCTGGTTTCCAAGCGAGCGAAGACAGTCTGTATAATATTATCTTATGCATTAAAGATTTCGAACTTATTGTGAAAAAGAAAGATTCTCAAGTCAAAGAATCTGCTGGATCGAGTGACACGTTTTGAATCACGTTATGTAATTCGAATTGTTTCCAACAGGTAGAGTTTGGCTGGAACGTTACCTCATGTCTATATTAGAGCCGGTTCGCGTCACATTCCTGGGGACGATCCAGCTTAAACCCCGTTTATAATTTGGTCATCAGTTGGAAGTGTTCCCAGATGCTGAGGACGAGGGAGTGTCTGCTTATTGTCATATGCTTGGAACTTAAGAACACGTGAACGACTTTCTTAAGGGATGGGTTTCACAATCTACACATCTGCCCCACTCGTACGTAGTTTCACAGCAGTGGTGAGGACTCCTTACAGTTTTGATAGAACACGCTGCTGGTGGTGTACACAGTATTCTCTCTTGTACGATACACACCGTTATTCATAATATTTAAGAAATTTCTCACATCAAAATCATTCAGACTGGCTAAGGGGTCCACCCAGCCTCATATCTAATGGATACCGTGGGCTCTTTCCCCGGGGGTTAAGAGGCTGGGGCATGAAGCTGACCACTGACCTCCAACTAGTGCCGAAGTCAAGAATAAATGGATCTATGCACCCATTGCCCCATACGTCTTCATGGCATAGTGCTTAAGTAGTTAAACACAGAGACGTCGGGCTTCGCGAATACGTCTATACGGCAGTAAAGTAGGAAAAACTGTCAAAATGATTCAAAATGAGACTGTCTGTTTCATTGATGATTTTCAGATTTCAGAAATTTCGCAGATCTGAAGATGTACTAAGAATTAAAGCAAACATCTGTTTGTAATTCATACCGCTATTTTCTGGGTCACTGCAGCGTGTTGTCTAGCAGATACCTACAAACTTTCCAGCAGAAAACACCGCCTTCATCTACGGAGCTAAAGGGGACGTTATGTTCGCCCCAAACGCTAGTAAATACCTGTTAGACCAAAGGGTGTCATGGCCCATAAGACTAAGAGATTTATCTTCACTCCGTGAAAATCTTAAATCTCTTCATACGAATGATCCTTTCTCATTTTATACGTTACACAGTACGGATCGCTTCTTTAAGGAACTGACATCTTCACGTGTCATGTATCAATCGCTGACTTCATTTTGCCTTCACAGTAATGCTATTAGTAAGGAGTAATGTGCTCCTTAGTAACTTGTTGAAGTATTATACTTTTTTTTTTTTGTAATTAATGACTTACGTTTCGACAACACTGCTGAGACGTGCATACTACTGACCAGTTAAAACAATTAAAGGTTTTTACGTAATATGTGATCAATGTTTGAGTGAGATAACGCAAATGCTGCAAGCGCTACTAGTTCTACCCTGTCTTCTACAGAACTGAATGTCTATAGTTCAATAGTCGATATGGCAGTGATGCGAAGTAGTCCTGATTATTAATTATGAGCTGAAGGAAGATAGGTGTTATACGTTTTGAAGTACATTTGTAGTACTTTCTTTAAGGAATAA